CTCTGCCATTACTTTCATTCCATCTGCATGTTGCAAAAAGTAAAGGGATTTTTTGAAAGTGCCCTATCGCAGTTTTATCTGTACCAGCGTGATACAGTTGATTTTCGAATTACTTTCGGAATTATTTTATTGGAGAAAGTTCACTCATTCTCTCAGAGATGGCGCCACATATCATGCCCAGGAGGTGCTGCCCTCTTATCGGCGAAAATTCGAACTAATGCGAATTTCTTAATATTAATAAGTTCCGAAAAGTAAAGGAATTTTTTGAAAGTGGCCCTATCGCAATCTAATTTGTACCAGCCTCTTCTATGGACTATTCTAACTTTCTGCATTAGGAGATCTTTCAAAATTTCAAGGAAAAAGCCCAGCCGTTTCCGAGATACAGCCTCCCGAAGGTACAATTTCGAATATTTTCAAAATCCAAGAATAGACTGAAGCCTACGTAACCGTATGCTTGTCAAGATAAGAAATATTAAGGCAGGATGTACAGACTAAATAAGAATATCGGATAACATAGGGCTAAGCAAATGACTAAGCGAATTCAATATGTTTTAAAATGTAGTATTGATAAAGGAAAAGCGATATCAGGATATGGATAATATGGCAGAAGTGGAGCATAGGTGAAAAGGGGTGTCGAAACATAAGACAGAATGAGAAGATCGAACTAATGCGAATTTCTTAATATTAATAAGTTCCGAAAAGTAAAGGAATTTTTTGAAAGTGGCCCTATCGCAATCTAATTTGTACCAGCCTCTTCTATGGACTATTCTAACTTTCTGCATTAGGAGATCTTTCAAAATTTCAAGGAAAAAGCCCAGCCGTTTCCGAGATACAGCCTCCCGAAGGTACAATTTCGAATATTTTCAAAATCCAAGAATAGACTGAAGCCTACGTAACCGTATGCTTGTCAAGATAAGAAATATTAAGGCAGGATGTACAGACTAAATAAGAATATCGGATAACATAGGGCTAAGCAAATGACTAAGCGAATTCAATATGTTTTAAAATGAAGTATTGATAAAGGAAAAGCGATATCAGGATATGGATAATATGGCAGAAGTGGAGCATAGGTGAAAAGGGGTGTCGAAACATAAGACAGAATGAGAAGAAGAAGGATGCTGTTTGGATGGAGGAGAGTAAGAAGGAGACAGAACTCATTCATACTCTGGAATATTCTCAGAAGGCAAAAGAATATCCACGTATTATAGGTGTTTAAAGATAGTTTATTTGACAAACGCAATAATTATACAGTATACAAAGTACATATGTACATATATGGTTTGCGAAAGATTAGCAATAACAATACCATTACAAATATATTAAATATATCACCACTATAATATACATATTGTATGTTATATGCGTTACCACTTTGGAATTTTCCAAAGGCCTTTTTAACAATTTAGTTTTGAAGGAACAACTAGGAGGAGAGTGACGGATATATAGGAAGGAATAGGAGATTCGAAAATTGAGTAGAAAGAAACGTTTCGTGGCAGCAGATAGGGAAGATTGTTGTTGAAGGGGAAAAGAGGAAGATTGTTAAAAAGAAAGAGTGAAGAAGAGAGATGGTTATGATTGAGGGAACAAGGGGAGAAGAAGATGCGTAAAGCGTATGCACTATAATAATTCCTTATGTATTTATATTTAATAATTGAGAGAAAAACATCCAAAGAAATTATTGTCTTTAAATACAAAAAATAAAAAAGTTATTAGCTGAATTAATTTATGTCCAAAATAACACAATAAAAAAATATAAATAAGCACACAATGACAAATGAATTCAATTAGAACATATTTGATTAAATAAGGCGATTTTAAGATATAACATTCATGACCCATTCCATAACACTCATGACCCACACTTACATTACAAATTACAGAAACCAAACTAAAATAAATAATATCGCTTAGCTATTCGTTGTTTCGAAAACATGATATACTTTGTAACAGTTGATAAAATTATGGAGGAATTGTTTGCGATATTCCTTTTTACTGGTTGATGTCCAAATTATCAGGGACGTATGCGACCACATCGATTGGCAAATATCTCCGTCAATAATTCCATATAGTAGTTTAAATAAAAGCCCTTTCTATCTTTGTATGACACCCTGCATTTAGTGATGAAGAAAAATATACATGAAAATCAATGACTCTAATTTTTAAGAATTTTGCTCGTTACCTTAGGTATGACTTGCTGTACTGCTTGGTGACATCCGCTCGTCTTGGAAGTCCGAGACAGAATGGGATGACACCAGGCAGCAACAGGACAAATTTTAAGAAATATAAACTCTAACAGCACTAGCTTTCGCTATTATCCTATGGATGTCACTACTATTAACATTTGGGAGGAGCGAGATAAGAGAACTGTGGAAGAAGTATGAAAAGTAGGAAGTATAAGGGAGAGAAATGGGCCCC